GTTCCCCCTCTGATGTTATCCAAATTAAAAAATTGTTCAGTTCTTGCTCTGCAGACATATGGTGGATAAGCTACCCTAGCTAGTACACCAGGGTTAGGTTAGTTCCCCCTCTGATGTATCAGTTTCGTATGGTGTATGAGCTACCCTAGTAGACAAGGGTTAGGTTAGTGCCCGCTCTGATGTATCAGCTTTGTATGGTATATGAGCTACCCTAGTAGACCAGGGCTAGGTTAGTACCCCCTCTGATGTATCAGCTTCGTATGGGGTATGAGCTACTCTAGTAGACCAGGGCTAGGTTAGTACCCCCTCTGATGTATCAGCTTCATATGGTGTATGAGCTACTCTAGTAGACCAGGGCTAGGTTAGTACCCCCTCTGATGTACCAGCTTTGTATGGTGTATGAGCTACTCTGGTAGACCAGGGTTAGGGTAGTACCCCCTCTGATGTATCAGCTTCGTATGGTTTATGAGCTACCCTAGTAGACCAGGGATAGGTTAGTACTCCCTCTGATGCATCAGCTTTGTATGGTGTATGAGCTACCCAAGTAGACCAGGGTTAGGTTAGTACCCCCTCTGATGAATCAGCTTTGTATGGTGTATGAGTTACCCTAGTAGACCAGGGTTAGGTTATTACCCCCTCTGATGTATCAGCTTTGGATGGTGTATGAGCTACCCTAGTAGACCGGGGTTAGGGTAGTACCCCCTCTGTTGTATCGACAGCTTCCTAGCCACAGATGGTTCTCTGCTGGCTAGGAAGCTGTCGATACAACAGAGGGGGTACTACCCTAACCCTGGTCTACTAGCGAAGCTCATACACCATACAAAGCTGGTACATCAGAGGGGGTACTAACCTAACCCTGGTGTACTAGCTAGGGTTAGGTTAGTACCCCCTCTGAGGTATCAGCTTTGTATGGTGTATGAGCTCCCCTAGTAGACCAGGTTTAGGGTACCGTAGTTCCCCCTCTGATGTAGCAGCTTTGTATGGTGTATGAGCTAACCTAGTAGACCAGGGTTAGGTTAGTTCCCCCTCTGATGTATCAGCTTCGTATGGTGTATGGGCTGCCCTAGTAGACCAGGGTTAGGGTGGTTCCCCCTCTATTGTATCAGCTTTGTATGGTGTATAAGGTACTCTAGTAGACCAGGGTTAGGGTAGTACCCCCTCTGTTGTATCGACAGCTTCCTAGCCAGCAGAGAACCATCTGTGGTTGAATACCAACATCACAATACAACAACATATCAGTGTACATAGACATGCTGTTAGCACCCTGGTCCTTTGTTAAAGGTCTTGTAGCAAAATGTCAAATGGGAATATCAGAATGCTCAGTTTTATTTTTTTGTAACAGCATGATAATAAATGGTCTGTTATCAAGTGTCTTTCTCTGAAGGAATTGTCATCGGTCTCAAGTTCTCCAAACATTGTGCAATAAACAATCCAGGTACAGTATATCATTGAGACATGTATTAACGCTTTGTGTTTTTATACACAAACATATGCCACAAGCTGGCCTCAGTCACATGTTGAGAGCTATAGTAGATATATATACGTAGAATCTACACTTGTCAAAATCCAATGAATCAGATTTCTCCTCCTCCTGTTTTAAACAGATACAAATAATCCTTCTGTTGGGAACAGATAGAGTCAAATATTCCTTCTGTTGGGAACAGATAGAGTCAAATATTCCTAAATATTCCTTCTGTTGCGAACAGATAGAGTCAAATATTCCTTCTGTTCTAAAAGTTTCAAACTATGTTTGAGTTGGATACCCGTTGTTAACAGCTAATATGGTCCTCAGAAGGTAACGCCATCCGTATTAATTACATTACATAAAACATGGGACGTGGTGATAACTCGAACAATGACGCACGACCAGACCTTGTTTACGGCAATGAATTTTTGTTTTTGCCTAGTTTTACAGCCAAAAACAGGCTGCTTCCTCGAGAAAAATGGTCTCTATTCCCCCCTCCCACAAAAGAAAAAAACGAAGAATATCTCTCCACTTTGATAAAAAATAATAAAAATACATGTAATGCTATATTTTAATAATTGATGAAGAACAGGCTGTTGTAAACCTTTAAGTAGATGAAACACTATGGTATAAGTTTAGTCTGGAGACTGTAATGTGTATTAGTTACATGCTAATCCTGACACAGTGTGGTAATTTATTCTGCACATGTATCATAATTAACCTAATTATGTACACACATGATGATAAGGGTGTGAACTCACTCAATATGTATTATGCAAGTACTACATCACAGGATAAAATGCTAATTTGATGATGTCTCATTATATTTAAATTTCATTGTTTACCAAGTTGATTGGCTGCGGACATTTACAGGATAGGTTATATATGTAAACTTTGACATTCAATCTGCTACAGGAATTTCTGAATGTCAGGAATTCTACCCTGCCAGATTGACAAAAGTGCACGAGAAAGACACTGTTTATGCCTTGTCAATAAAGGTTTCGTCAATTTAAATGTCTGAGTTTTATAGGATACTGTATGGTCAAAGATCACAGCAGACAATTGCAATCATAATAGAATCTTGAATTCCGTTAGATGTTTTTATTTGCCGATACATTTGTATAGATTTCATCAAGGGGGGGCCACAAGGTATTCAATTGACCAGAAAAGTATAAGGTACTCACTGAACCAATAGTGTAGTGGAGTTTCATTTTACGCCATTATTGAGCTGTCTCTGATCATTACACAAGGTTTTACATAATCAGCTTGGGGTATCTTGTATTTTGTAGGTCACAAAGGTCATATCATTGCACAAGTTTTTATGTAATCAGCCTGGTATCTGTGTGTTTTGTTGACCTCTCTGTTCATCTGTTGACACTGTCGGAGGGTTCAGTTAACGAGTAGTCATGCATCTATTTAGGGTGACATAAACAGTAGTTTGTTAGTGAGGCAACAACTACAAATCTCTGTACAGATGTCATTATCAGGATCAAAGCTAGACGAGTTAACGAGATGTGATATTTGGTGGGTCTTTTATCTACCCCCAGAACCATCTGGTCACCTTTTGACAGTCATGAAGCCACAAAGAATGCACACTTATATAAATTTTATCATGTCTGTTGTAAAAAATGCTGGCGATAGCAACTGCAGCAGATCGTTTTACTTTCAGAGATTCTTGTCAAGTCCAACAGTTTTTTTATGAGCTGGTTAGGAAAACAGTAGTTACTGCATTGTTAACAGTTATCTCTGGAGAGACTGACACATTTTGGTCCTGATCACACCGAAGTTTGATTTGAGTATTGAAATGTGCTTTTTGTTAAGTGTTAAATGATTTTCTTTGAAGACACAGGAAGATACATTTGTGTATTCCCATAGAGTATACTTAGAGGGAATTCAAATTTCAATTTCAATGTACAGTTGTTATATACCTATATACAACACTTTTCAGCATCATGTGAATGTTTGTCAAGTAGAAAAACTTAAATGAAAATGAGTCACTAAAAAGTTCTCTTCTTGTCAACATATTAAACGGACAACTTGACTCGACTCGTATTCAAGGACTTGGTATATATAGCATTATATACAGCTTTTTTACGATTTAAATCACTATTTGTTATTAATAAGAACAACACAATATGTCTAAATAAAGAAACAGCTGAACGAATTTGTAAAAAAAAATAACCCTTATAGATGAAAATCTAGAAAATAATACTGTTTCTGGAGTCCATTGGTTTATATTCAAGTTGATAAACGTGCAGACTTCAATTATTATACAAAGATAGAGGAAGGCTTTGTGTCTGGCCATTTAAACATCACTAGTTATTGTACCAGCAGTATATACGCATTACGCAAAACATTTCCAGGCAATGCTGTCATGTTGTTATATAAGGACTACAACAGTTTATATTGATTTTGAAGTCATTGATTTTAGAAAACTTGTAGGGGGGTGTAAAGTTGTGGTGTTCTATAGAATACATTTGTATGACTTGATGGGTCGATCAGTAAAAACCTATAAGGTTCCTATAAATAGCCAGCCTTATCAGCTGGAAACTGTACATTATCACAATGTATAGGTTTGGGAGGGTTACATGGTATCGTGTAATAACCAAATCATTGCTGATACTGGAGTAACTAGCGTCAATGGAACACCATGCTATACCTCTATGTATTGGGAACCATAAAGGGGCCAGAACACCTGAAGCCTGAAGGTGTCTTGTATAGGGAGTACCTGTGGTATAATGTCTACAAAGGGGTGTCCATGATTTATAGGTCATGTTTTACCCTAGAATGGAAGGGAATGAAGTGTATCTAGATCAAGAAATGATGAATTGGGTAGGTTATACACCACGATATCACACGGGACCTGTCATTTTGGTATGTTCAATGTACACAAAGACATCATTTATCCGGAACATATTAAAAATGCTGTTATCAAAGAAATGTTCATCTTTAAAATCTCATTATGATTTCAAATATTGTTTCTGGAGTCCATTGGTTTATATGAGTTGATAAACCAGACTTGAATTATTATACAAAGATAGAGGAAGGTTTTGCGTCTGGCTGTTTAAATATCACTAGTTATTGTACCAGCAGTATATAAGGTAACACTTGGATACAATGGACCAGTTATCATTTAACTCAGTATTATCACAAACGTATTTCTTATCATTATATAAAAGTTATAATATATTTTAAAACAATTATGAAACAAGCCATTTCAACTTATATTAATCACTCTTGTTAGCCTGTATGTTAGTGTGCGGAGGTCTTAATGTGGGAGGAAACCGGAGAAAACCTACATGGTCGGTGACCCCATACCTTTTCACATCCGATCAGGGAATCGAACCCCAGTCACATTGGTTAAAAGCAGGTGCGCTATCCATAATCCACTGTGCCACCTGACCACTTATAATTTATAACTGTTGCCTTATATGGTTATCATAGTTATTTTTCAGTTTTCGGTTGCAGGATGTTGCATGAGTGCATAATATTTACCGTGTTGTCTAATGACATTTCCCTATGTTCTCTGTTGTAGGTAATATAAGGCGTGATGGTGTAATCATGACAGCCGTGGAGTGGTAATGGAATGACTTCAATATTCGAGAACATGTACAGAAATTGATACTCCCACGTATTGCGTGACGATCCGAAGGACATGCTCCAATCTTGTAATGTTATGGTGCGTATCAATAGGAACAGGAAGTGTAAATTTCAACTAACACTCGTATAACTGTAAACTACATGACCCCATCCATATCTAGCTATACTATACCAGACATAGGTTGTATTATAGGATATATTGGACAGGATAGTTTATATAGATTATAGATTTCATGTGGTATTTAATTTTTCATGAATTCTCATATAGCATTGATCGTTTAAACAACATGAGCATTTAGCAATATGCAATGATAGTAATTATCTAAATAAATATGGGAAGGTTAGTTTGCAAAAAATAAATACAAAGAAGTAATTTAGAGTAAGCATTAATTTCATGGCTCTGTTGTTAGTCCCTTATATAGTCAATAAGTATCACTAACAGGGACTAGAGGTTTACACTGTGCCATCTAAGTTAGTACTTAATTGGATGATAGAGTGTTGCTAACTAAAATTGGGACTCCTGCCCTGCTATATACAGAGTTGTAGCCCTTCGTTCATTTTCTATACCATTGCCGTGTTTGTCAAAGGGTGGGGACTATGGATTGTTCTCAATAGTTTACGTGTTTTTGTGATTTTGCTGCATGATTTACATGAGAGTATTTTACAACCTGTTGATGAAGGGCACCGTATTTAGGAAAGTATATAATCTTACAACCGGTCGACGGCCCGATAAAGAGTGATAAGTATTCTAGGAAGGTGTGTTACAGTCTAAAGAGTATTTAGGAAGGTTTCGTACAGATTTTGTGAGGATATGTGTCTGGATTTTTCTCTTAGTCTACATGAATATGAATATGCCGGTTGACATAAATGGACCCCTATATATTAAGATAGATATCTTGCTGGCTTAATTTATGGTGGTCTATTTTACAGGAGAGTTCTATATTATAAAAAGTATGTTTTTAAGTATATTTAGGTATTATCAGTATGACCTTACGGTGGTGACCTGGTCGTTAGATTGTCAGTCGATAACATTTGTACTGGTTAATGTTTTACAGTCCATTAACTTAACCATAGGCTTGGGAGACATAGAGGAAAGATAAAACTAATATAGGGGCTAATTAACACACTCAATTAGCTTCAAAACAAACTTACGCCACATAAAATATGGTCAGGACACTTCAACACATGCCACAAACGAAATCAATTGAACACAATTATACAACCGAAAAAAACTAATTGTTCAAATGAGAATGTATTGTTTAAATGACTTTACCCGGTTGTTCTTCAGAATTCTTTGAACAAAAAGAGGAATTAAGCTATTAGAGGTCAACTCACTTACCTACAGGACCCATTAAGTGTTTAAAATCTACTTGAGGAATCTATTAGATGTGCAGGGATGAGTTGTTGGAGGGTTTCTTAGATGTGTGTAAAAGACATTTTAGATATTCTCTGGAGCACGCACATTAAAAAAAATGCAACATATTTCGAAATGGTTGTCGTAAGTAGATTGACATGGCGGAAAACCCTACTTGAGACAAGCTGGTTTTTGTGCCCATTACAGAAAGTATTTTTCATCATCAGAACAATTGATATGGCAGCACTGCATTGTACTAACTATCTTGTGGTGTAGATGGGAGGAGATCCTGGTGTCACAGGACACACAGGATGCTGATCTTGTTGGTGGTGACATACAGACGGACAATAACGGCACTGACAGACTGTGCCTATACCTATCCTGTAGCCCTGTTAGGACTGACCAATCTTAAACATCCTGTACCACAGTTGAAGACTGCCCATCTGCTAACATTGAGTGTTATTGATGAAGCAGAAGAGGCTGACCCTTCCAGAACATTTAGTCCATTTTTTTTCATTTTTCAAGGGATTCATTTGTTCCTTATTTGCCCTAGTTTTGTAAATGTTTACTTCACACTTTTGTGGACATTTCAGTATTCTTTTGTTGTTCCTTATCTCTGGGTGTCTGAAAGAAATGGTTTCTAGATGTTTACTTTGAAACAATAAATCTGTGTTAACCACACTTGGTGAATGATGTCCTGAGGGGAAGGGGAAAAGTCTATGGATTTTGGTGTCACTTAGCCAACGGTCAAGGTCACAGTGCCAACAAGTATACTAAAATGTGGGAAAAGTAGGTTTTTGGATGCTATATCTTGAACGGTCCACCAGACCTAAAACAGTCCTGGATGTCTGATGCCCTTGGAAAGAGGAAGATCCCTAATAGTTTTGGAGATGCAAGGTCAAAGGTCATGGTCAGAAAAGCTATAAATGGGTTGAAAATTTGTTGAAATATTGATTTTCGGATAGTATTTCTTAAAAAATACATCAGATATAAAACTAACTTATCTCTATTGATTTTGGGGTTTCTAGACGACAAATGAAGGTCAAAGCGGCTCTAAACAAACTAATTTCTTTAAGATATTTGTTTCTGGAATCCATTTTTTTTTAATTTTCGAGCTATCTAATTGAGCACAGAAAGAAAAGGAGATATCAAATTGTGTTTATATGGATATGCTATCTATCCATTTATCAGTGCATTTTAATAGCTATGTCCACATGGTATTTTGATATAGAGAAAAAAAGTGTCAAAACAATTGTGTGGGGGAAATATGTCTGGTGATGTGGCCAGCCTCCTAACCTAAGGTGTGTGTGTTACTGTTGTAGTAGACAGGGAACTTGTTGACATTTTATTGCATAGCAGTACAGCAGTGTTTTAGATAGCACCAGAAAGATGATTCCTTTTGTGTAGTGTCTGAAACAAGTTTTGAAATGCCAAACCACTACAGTGTATATATGATATTCATTGAGTGCTAACAAGTACTGAAATGATACGTTAGCAGACAGCCTATCCAACAGTCTATGGTTATTACAGCATTGAGTCTTCCGTAAAATATTTCAGTTTCCCTTTTGCACAATTGTACAGACCAATGGCTGTATATCATCTATCCAAGCTTTTCCCCTCATTTCCTTTTGGTTTAACTGGGGAGGTTCTGCTGTCATAAATGAACTGCAGTTCTCCTCAGTTAAAACTTTTCTTCCCAAATATTAATTCAGACAACTGACCAACCCTCCAATAGTCTATAACTGGTTGTTGAGTGGGCATTGTTGACTTGTCCTCAAAATCAAGGAGTTAAGCTTTCAATATAAATATCTTTTCTGCACCCTTGGTTCGTGTCAAGACAAAATTGAAGGCTCACGATTAGCATTGTGATTGGATTCAGATATGAAAATAACTGACAGATCACTAGCCTGATAAATGTCCTTTGAAGAGTATAAGGAACTATTCCCAAATCAAGGGCAATCAATCTTGTTATGCTGCAGCACAATTCCTTTTATATATATCAAAGAGATCACAGGTATGCAGGATTTTGTAACAGATTTCAGACTAGTCAAATCTATCAAGATGTTGTATACCGAGACTTTAGATATGTCACAACATATTCCAAGGGTGTGAAGAACATCTATATATCAAGAATGGAACCTTGGATTTTGAAGATGTTTTCTGTATGAGCTGTATGCTCCAAATGACATAAAACATTCTATATAAGAGTGACCTTGGAAATGCTGTATATGCTCAGAATGACCTTGGACATCCTATATATACTCCAAATGACCTTGGACATGTTGTATATGTTCAAAATGACCTTGGATATTAATTCTATATATGCTCCAAGTGACCTTGGATGGTTTGATAGTGCAACTGATGATGGAACTTTTACATACTCTGCTGTATATGTTCTCATTAAAACTAACCAGTATCCTCTTATTCCCGCCCTGAAGAGGCTTCAGACGACCTTGATTAGTTACAGCCTTGGTTGTTTTGTTATTTTGTTTCTTTTGATTATAAAAGTAATTTGAAATTCTTAATAGATTTTCCCTGAACAAATAAAAAAAAAAAATCAAGATATTCTATTGTGTCATTGAGGAAGATGTTTCCAATAGTAAGTAGCATTGTATATATATATATATCTTAATGGAGAAAGATGCTGAAACCACTCTTTCCCGTAATAGGTATGTACATCTTGATATCCTGCAATCTTTGTATCATCCTTATTTTTACATAACCAAGATATTTATAAAAAGATTGTAGTGTTTTCTTTGCCAATAAACATATGTTAGTAGACTATTGCTGTAGCCCTCCCCTGTCTACAACCATGGACCAAATATAATTAATTACTGTCCTAGTGTGATAATGACATTTCTAGTCCTCACATCATGTTTTATCAGTTTTCTACATCTCCTGGCTCTATAGCTTTTTCACGACTGTCATAATTTCAAAAGAACAAGTAAAAAGGAAACGTCTCTGATTGTGTGACAGAATTTTATCTCCAGAAGGTTTGAAGGGTGGAGAGCAGTGTGAAAGACTCGCCGAAATTTTGATTGCAGCTTTAAGAATGGCAATGTCAATCAACTTACAATAACATTTGCTTGATGAAATTATTTAAACAGCATTTGATTTGGCGGCGTCTTGAAGTGTTAGAACTGAGAGAACATGATAGTTGGATGTTCTGATAAGTTAGAACAAAGGCCAGTGGTGTGTGTGTTCAGGTTTGGCTGACACCTTGTAACACCAAGCCTAAGGCCTTCTCTTGTTAAAGCATTTAGGTTTAATCTTGCATACTCTGGTTTTCTGATTCCATAATATGATAAGCTGGAAGGAAAAAACAATTTAAGTTTAAAGAATTTAGTTATAAACCTTTGGGGGACATGTAAAGGCTCGAGAGAACAGCATGGTGAGACTTTTTGTATTCATTCAGGATTATCAGTACGTACTAGCCATGATTTACAGTTTGTTTACATGTACTGCATTCAACTGTTCACAGTTTCAATGATACTTTGCAGTTACCTATAGTTAAAACTTTGGTGTAGCGGAAAGATACAGGGGTTGTAGACGTAAGCAGTAGAGTTAGGTTGTGTTGATGCCATGTAAGCAAATCTTCTTGAAGTTAGCTGTCTTATTAAGACTACATAGTGATTTTCCTGATTTTAATGTTTCACTAGCATGCTGGTAGTAATAAAGTACACATGTATACGCTGCACACCAAGCGCAGTGCCACTCCTATATCTGTACATGTAGCACTCAGCAGTTTTGTGATGGTGTCATACAGACATTAGAATTCCAGGCTAATATCTGCTTGGCACCGATGTTTAAAAATATGGGTGTCTCCGGGACGTCAGTTGTGATGTTATACTTGCAGGTGCTTGTTGCAGAATGTGTGCATCTCATTTACTCAAAATGATGTGATGTTTTGTATTACAGTGGCAATGGTTAGCCAGATATGCTGAACATGTTCATTAGAATCCCTACATTCGGTGCTTTGTCTTCAGTGTGGTGGAAAAAACGCACGACCATAACATTCATGTTTTATAGTATAATAACAGGCTATTATAGGTAGGAATGTTTATGGGTGTTGTTCGGAACCACTGCTGTTAGAACTACGTTTGTAAACATTCTAAAGTTTTGTTAATTTCCCTGTTAATAAATGGTCCTGATGAAGTCTCCATCCGGTGTTTTGACATGGACTGATATCTGTCAAAAGTGAAGTGGTAGGTAGTGTATATAGGTACTTGTCTGGTCTCCCACACATGTGGACATCCTCTCATTAGTCAGAGGACCAATGACAGACTAACTCGGATGACAGACCCGTGAAATATGGGGAATAGAGTCTAAGGTTAGTTACTGTTACATAGAAAATCTACAGTTACATTGTGTTGTATCCTAATAATTATGGTGGGACATTTCCATGCATAGATAACCTTTGATCATATCAGTAATGTTTATAATGTTTTAGTTTATTATAGTTATGTCAATTATTATGTTTGAAAATGTCATAACAGCAGACTGGGCCTGGTTTCGCTGATGACCTACTTGATCTGGTAAAAGTCATATACATAATTTAGGTCATTTTGAGCTATAATCACAACATCATTGGGGATATTTCAATAGAATTTCAACAGTTTGTGTTTTGTTGTTTTTCACAGATACCCACTGGATAACTACCTAGGATTAAACGAAGAGGAACAATATTTTATTCCAAACACCAGGACATATTTTCAGGATGGATGAATCAAGGACTTGTAGATTAACAGGCAGACTTATTCGCTGTGAAGTGGTTCTGTTCTTCACAATGCTGTGGGCTATTTTGCCTTATTCTGGTACTATGGTATTAACAACGTGTGGAAATTTACATCCCCAAGGTAAGTACCAGAGTATAAGCTTGGACTTTATAGGTAAATAAAATTGTCATACTTCTCCATCCCTTCAGGCAAAAATTGCCAGTTCTTATGAAAATCCATATAAGCATATACACAACATCAGGCTATTTTCTTGTGGTGCAAATTTCAAAACTTGATCAAAATCAAGTGATGGGTTGGGGAGGGGGGCAAGAGTTGTTGCCCTTAGTGATGTTCTACATATTACCATACTTCTGGTCAACACTGATGTATGATTTGTGTTTTCATCAGCTGGTGCATAAAATGGGTTAAAAAAAAAGGCGAACATAAAGAATATAAATGTTGAGAAAATTAGATTTTATGTACTTGTTTAAGCTTGTCATTTTAATCTTATTGTTAGTGATATGTCCCTCATGATTTTCTTTGGTATAATAGTGACAGTAGCAATTTACACAAATTGATGATCATAGATCAGACCTGACTGTTGGATACCAAAACACACTTAGAAGAAATATTAAAAACCCTTCCGAGATGTTAAAACCCTTGTTAAACATCATCACATCCTTGCTTTTTTATGTTCATTCTCCAAGTGATAAAACATCATTCAGTTATCTCTGTAAAATTGGACCAACGTCCCTCACCAAGGGGAGTATTTCACTCCAGTGCAAGCATGTTCTTCAAGAAAGGTCTGCTATCTCCTATAAAAGTGGCTGTGGGGTCAGCACCAGTCAGGGATAGGAGATGTGTACACCCAGGGGTTCTTCCTCTCCTGTGATGATGTAATATACCAAAGGAGGTTAAAGTAGTCAAAAAAGATCCAGAGATTGTAAATTATAGTTCAATAAAATGGTTTTATCCAGAGTCAGATTCACTTCCTGCTGTCATTAGCTGACATTAGATTGTCAGTGCTAGTAAATAGGGATGCCACCTGTCGGTTTTATTTCATCGCATTATTTCAAACTCTGAAATATCTCTAGAACTTGGGGATTGACTTGTAATATAGTGCAACTATTTCATAAAACATATCGTCTTATAGCATATATCTACCTTTAGTATGGCTGGTGTGAAGGATAAAATATCTCCTTATCTAAGATACAGAGACTTGACTGGTTCACCTATAAGTGGTTTTAAATGCTTAATCAAGAATGATCATATCAAAATATTCGGTAACACAGTTATTCCAACGAACTCAAGTCAACTCTTCACCGAATTAAGAGCCGGGAAACTCCTCTCATGTCCTGAACTTTGTGTGTGGTTTTAATTTTGTGTTTTTAAAATGGAGGGAATAAAAACAATGTCTATGTAAGGTTCAAATGCAAATGCTATGAGTAATGTGCCTGTAGGCCGGGTCTGGTACGTGGCAGCTTGGTGTGGTAACATGCACATGCATGGATGGAGGAGATTTTCGTGAACGGAAATTGCTGCTTATTGGTTAACCTTCGGTAATCCTTTGAATTTGTGATGGATTTTGCAAATGTCAACTAGGAAATTACAAAGATGAGACATGCTAATTAAATGGTTTAGGAGTGCCTGGCTGAATTTATATTTCGACTGTTAGTAACACATTAAATAATGGCTGTTTCGTCCTTGATGGCAGATTGTTGACCCTATCAAAGGACTGGATACTTAAAAGTTCTTATCTTATTAATTACTTGTGGTCATTTAGACTAAACATCTTCATCTTGAAGTGTTCAGGTCCTGTTTATAAGGCTTTTAGAATCATGAGGATGTGATATCTTATGATGAGATTTTATACTTGATGTGTATAAGTGATGACAGAATATTAATGGTTTTGTTTTTGTATTTTTGATAATAGAATATTTATAAAGAAGTTTCATAGATGTTGAATTAAACCTGGTGGGAAAATGTTGCAAGTCATTCTGATAGCTTGTAATTTTACTGGTGTGAAATGACAATGTATTAATGTTATACTAAACAATGATTCTTGAATTGGCCATTCACAATCAATCAAAACTAGATATACATATCAAGACCAAAGTCCCTGCTCGTGCTCTTTATTGGAACAGGTGCCAAAACCATGATTGAATTTCAATTATAAGTATTTAATTACTAATACCTCATGTACAACCTGATTATATTTCAATATTTTGTAATGAAATCTTGAAAAGTCCTATCATTTTGTAAATAATATGTCATACTGTTATAACAAGCATTTTGTTAATAAAAGCTAATATCATGATCATCTATCAACATTTGCATCGAAGGAGAATTACATGCAAATCAATTTAGCTAAATCATTAATGTTATATGTGGTACTACTGTACGCTCTTGTGTCACACCCAGATCCACTAGTGTGATAGGGTAACGGTAATTAGCACCGTCTAGGCATGCACATGCATTAGATCTACGTATTATCAAACTGATTTGCCAGGGATGCACCAGTTAAACTTTGACCCTAATGCACCTAAGGGCTTAGCGAATGAACAGGATTTAACACAGATTGTACAACTGTAAAACAGATAAGATCAACTAGATACATTTATTTATGTTTTTTAACAAAACAGACAGATTGGTATTTAAGGGTGATATAAGACATTGCATAAACTTATCAAATCGTGTAACAAACTTGACGGTAGAAAATGTTTCCATGAATATTTGATCATACCTGATATTCGCTGAGCTACGTGAAGCTTGGGATGCATGATGCTATGTAAGATTTTATCAAAATTATTTTCTATAGTTAAATAGCTTTGACAAGCTAATGATTTATGGCCGTATTCCAAGTAGACATGGAAGTATAGCCGTGCCCATGGTTATGTAATAGATGTCAGATTAGGGATGTGATATCGGCTATCTCCCTATCCAGGTATTAATCAAGGTGATGCACCAGTGAGTGTCATATTTAACACCGAAGTACACTTCCTAGACTCGTACATCACTTGTTGGGCACATACTTAAACGATTTGTTAGCAACTTTAAGTGACCCACCACCCATTTAACTCACACCCCAATACATAGGTTTACCATTAGTAATAGATGTTGTGGTTATTGTGGTAAGTCTTACTCGTTTACTCTTGTTCAAAGAACAGTTTGTCAGTTTCCAGTCTACTCAAATATATATTTATAACCTGATATCTCTTGAAAAGACATTGTGTAAATTTAAGGAAATGAAAATGCTGGTTTGCTAAACTTATGTTGGTTCTCTTGATTTACCAGCTCAATTAACAGAATTGTGTAACGATTATGAGGAAATGGTAAGTGGGGTTGGAATATATATATATAAAATACACAGTACTAATAGGAAATTATAAGGGAGAGTGGTGATATGTTATTTAATGATTTTGCGTGGCTAGCTTTTAATCAGTCACTTTTATAAAGGAAGTTAGGGCTTCTTATTTGAGGACTTACACACAACACACAACATTTTATCTATAAACCTTTTTATATTTTGTGGATTTTTAAGACATACGACCGTGCATTTTGATTTGTTCAAAATTTTGCGTACCTCACCATTACGTCAAACTTTGATTACACACCAAGTGACCGTTAGGAGATGACAGATCAGCTGTATCATCCTTTTCCTCAAATATATTAGTCATTACATACATGTGTATACAAAATCATGTTGATCATGGGGATGGTCCAGAAATACTGTCCATAAGATAATTGATGGCGGCAACAGGTTTATTTTTGTTAGGTCTTGTGCTTCTGCATATAGAATTGTATTTTAGATAGAATATTGTCATAAGTTAGTAGAGAGCAGATACTTATCTAATCCTAGGGAGGACAGCCCTTATATTACCCAAAGTATCGTTTGTGAAGTGTTTGGGAAGAAAATTGCTGGACAGACTTTATATGAACTATCAATGGTATAATTAGTGATATCTCGAATACTACTCTGTTAATGATTCGTCCTTGATCAAATCTTTACATCACTGTGTTTGATCCAATACATCTAAAGTTTAGTTCCAAGTCCTTATTTCCTGTGAACTCTCACAAAAGTAATCTGCTAGTATGAGGAAGTAGGACAGAAAACAGAGAATGGGGTTGTCTAGACTACTGTTTGTACTGTTCAGGATAGATTTTCATGTGTCAGATAGGACAGGTTCTTCATTAATTGAATAAACACATTATGTCTAAATAAAATGACTCTGTTACATGGTGATAGTTCAATTAATTGGATGTAGTGTTAAGCATATCATAAAAGATCAGTTCTGCTGTGAGACAAGTTCTGCTGTATGTAATAGCCAACTGATATCAGATGAAACAAGTTCTGCTGTACGTAATAGCCAACTGATATCCGCTGAAACAAGTTCTGCTGTACGTAATAGCCAACTGATATCCGATGAGACAAGTTCTGTTGTATGTAATAGCCACCTGATATCAGACGAGACAAGTTCTGCTTTATGTTAAATAGCCAACTGATATCATAAAAGATCTGTTCTGCTGTGAGACAAGTTCTGCTGTACGTAATAGCCAACTGATATCAGATGAGACAAGTTCTGCTGTATGAAATTGCCAACTGATATCAGATGAGACAAGTTCTGCTGTATGTAATAGCCAACTGATATCAGACGAGACAAGTTCTGCTGTATGAAATAGCCAACTGATATCAGACAGACAAGTTCTGCTATATGTTAAATAGCCAACTGATATCAGATGAGACCCATTCTGCTGTATGTAATAGCCAACTGATATCAGTCGAGACAAGTTCTGCTGTATGAAATAGCCAACTGATATCAGACGAGACAAGTTATGCTGTATGTAATAGCCAACTGATATCAGTCGAGACAAGTTCTGCTGTATGAAATAGCCAACTGATATCAGACAGACAAGTTCTGCTATATGTTAAACAGCCAACTGATATCAGATGAGACAAGTTCCGATGTATGTAATAGCCAACTGATATCAGACGAGACAAGTTCTGATGTATGTAATAGCCAACTGATATCAGATGAGACAAGTTCTTCTTTATGGTAATAACTAAATTGGTAACATTGACAGGTTTTGGTGTATGGTACATACAGCTTTTAGGCCCGGCTATATTGTAATCGTCCTTCCTT